ACTTCTGTCAACTTCCAGGTAAACAGATACTTTTGGACTTTTTCTTCTGGTTAATCAACTTTAAATGTTTTGCTTTTAAGATGAGTGTGTTTCTGCCATTATTTTGCCAAATGATTCTATCCTACAAAATCTTCAGATGATTCTACTGGTTTCTGCTGTTTAAAGTTTCTGATTACTTCCTATCACATTTTGATATGTTCTTCAGCTAATTTGTGCTTCTTTTACGTTATACAGTTTCTTTAGCTAATTTTTCTTTTTTCATTCAGCATAAAAAAGCATTCCCACTTTGCTGTTTCTCAGAAACAGCTTTTTCTAGTTGTATCTAGATACAATACAGTACTTATCTGCATGGTATAGATTAGATACCAAAAGACCAGTGTTGTTTGAACATTCTTCTATTTTTTCTTGGTTATTTATTTTGTACATTTATTTAACTATTATGTGTGATTCTGTTAAGAAAGAAAGGACATAGAAAATGTTTTTCTTTTTAAAGTTACATTTTAAATTATTTTTCATTTGTTATCCTATTGGTATTTAAAATGGTATTGAGTATTGAATATTTTCATGGCTATTGATATTGAGTTTAACTTTTTAGTATTGCGACAACCCTAATTTGGTCTGCTGAGATGTTAGGCTCTTTTCCCAACCATTGACCTCTGAAAAGTCCTATGAAAGTCCTATGAAAGTCCAGAATGGAGGACAGGTCAGCCCAAATGGTCCTCGTTGCAATACTACCTGTTTATTATATAATTGGACCTGTTCTGCTTAGTGGATTATCTATCCCACACAGTGCTAGATGTTCATTAAACAGCTGGAATTATAAAAGTGTAGAATATGACCAGCAGCCCAGGTGGAAGGTTATTCTTATGTTCCCGCAGGAGGTATGTTTTTTTTTTTAATAAAGAGTGCCTGTGTGTGAGAGATAGCCCATGTACTCAGAAAGGGTGTTCCTGAGAACTGAAAGTATTCATGACAGACACTGTCGCATTTCACCATAATTCAGTTGGATTCAATTCAGTTCATCTCTGTTCAATACAGTCCGGTCCAATCCAATCTAATACAATTCATTTTGATTACATTTGTTTCAGTTCAGTAAGCCATATGTCCAAAATATCTCTAAAGACTTCGACTTCAACTTTATTTATCCCTTGGTATTACTCCTTCAGAGAAATTCTGTTTCCAGTAGCTCATATAGACTACCGGTACAAAGAGTTTAAGCAAGATGCCATTAAAGACAAACATACAAGAGACCATATAAAAAGAGTGTATAAAGTACGAAAGAGCTTAAAAATAATTTGTATTGACCTGGAATATGTTACCTTTAGATATACAAATATCTGCACAATAAGACAGCTAAGAAAAGACTACACAGTAATTTGTTTGGATTAATGCACTGCAGAGATGTACTGACCTTATAAATAAGTAAAAAAAATTACACTGGCTACACAGTAGTTGGAATGTCTTATTGCACAGTGAAAGAGAAGAATATTACACGAGTGACAATAGATGATGTTTTGCAAAAGATGTCCAAGGAGGGGGGTGCTGACCCTTGTCCCCCTTTCTATCACGTCCTCCTTCCCCCAAGTGAGGAGTTTTACATCTCGAGCAGGTTAAATTCATGTTGGTTACCATAACCCTAACCCTACGCTGCAAGTGTGACCTGAATGCCCCCCCTGCATTTAAGTAATGTACAGCCTCATCTGTTCTGTTATTGTTTTTGAGTTTGATAATACATGATTGATTTAGGTATTCCAAAACAAACCACTAGACTTTGTTTGTTTCTGCCATGACTATGACCTGGATGACTGAGAATCTTCACCAGCATATTGATTTATGTAGTTTAGGTTCAGATAAAATTATTATTTTAACAGTTTAGATTTGATCTTTTAAATTAATCCTCTACCTGCCTGCAACATGTTTAACATGAATGACCATCTCCCAAGCTGACTCAGAGTGCTAGCATTGGTGGTAGCATTGTTTTTGAACTCTTTATTAGATCTCAGGCAGTAAAGAATGATCTGTTTCTCCTTACAGGTGATGGTGTGGGTGATATTTGTGAGAAGGATTTTGATAACGACACCATCATTGATCCCATTGATGCCTGTCCAGAAAATGCTGAAGTTACCCTGACTGACTTCAGAGAGTACCAGACAATCGTTCTAGACCCTGAGGGAGATGCACAGATAGACCCCAACTGGGTGGTGCTAAACCAGGTCAGAGCGCCTTAAGCTGCTTTTTATTTTGTGAGCAAATGAACCGAATCTAAATTTCATTGTAAAATCTGTGTTTCTGTTTGCAGGGAAGAGAAATTGTCCAGACTATGAACAGTGATCCTGGTTTGGCTGTTGGTGAGAACAGCTGTTGGGCATTTTGGGGAATTCCTATCATTGTAGACCATTGCAAATTGACAAAACACAATCCTGAAACTTATCTACCAGAATTAACTCTTTTTGTATAAATGTGAGATGTCTGTTGCGAATGGTTGTATTTTCTTTTCACTTAATTTTCTAACTGTAAAAAACAAATACACTAAATATTTTCAGGAGTTATTTGCACTTTATTGAAGAGTATTCTGTAATGCACAACTGATTTCTAAGTATCAACACTGCCCTGCAGGCTACACCGCATTCAGTGGCGTGGATTTTGAAGGAACGTTTCATGTAAATACGGTGACGGATGACGACTATGCTGGCTTCATCTTCGGCTACCAGGACAGCTCCAGTTTTTACGTGGTGATGTGGAAGCAGGTGGAGCAGATCTATTGGCAGGCGAACCCGTTCAGAGCCGTGGCACAACAAGGCATTCAGCTGAAGGTAGTCTTTTATTTTCACTCAGAACACAAACTGTTTAAAATGTGCTTCCAAGTTTCTTGGACAGAGAGCTGCGGAAGAAAACTTACTGAGCTGCTTTAGAATGTCTATGGGGATGCACATGCCATAGTAAATATGCATGAGTTGGATTTCCAGTACAATTTTTATTGCAAAATTCTGGTGGCAGAGAAGAAAAAAATAACAAAAATACTTTTTGCGTTGTTTACAGCTTTGTCTCAACACTTCTGTGCTAATCAGAGGTTAGGTGGTCCAAAAAAGTTTAAAAAAACAATCCACTGGACTTTTCTTTTCCAAGTTTGAAGATGTTTTGCTTGCCATCCAGGAAGCTTTTTCAATTCAAAATGTCTGAAATAGCGTCGAGTTCCAAGCTTTATAGAGTAGCCCAACAAAGCCTTGTTTTGGCTTAGCAAACATGCAAACTGAACGATAAGAACAGGTCCGCCCCTTAGTATAGGGGAGTCGTTGAGGTCTACGTTAACCTGCAATACCCTATACTGCTCTGTAAAGGGGACTCGTTAGGGGTATTGTTGGCCTGGCTGACCAGGTGAGATGTCTTGGTCCCCTGCTTGGCGATGAGGATTATGATAGCAGGAAGGAATCAACTCTATTGCTGCATTATAGGTTTTTGAGAGCTAAAACCTGAGTCCACCCCCTCAGTTTAAGGTTGTTTTTTCTCTCCTAACATAACTGGCTTTTTTGGAATGAATGACCTGGATGTCCGAGAATCCTCACCAGCAGAGGTTATGTGGCAGCAAGGCACATACTAACAGATATTTACACAATATGTCATTTATATAATTATGTCCTCAAATCTTAATTTTTAATTCTAATTTTATATGGAAATTTTTCTGCAAAGTATCTCTTTAAATGTCGGCGGGCTGCCATTAATGTGAAGGTATGAAAACAGCGATCGCAACTCTATTCAAGCTCCTTCACATCAATCCTGCTGACAAGTTTAAAAGGCTTTTATAGTGCCACGCAAAAACGATAACTCCCCTGTCACATTCTGCCCTAGTGTAATCACAGATGTTAATGTACTTTATTAGGATTTTATGTGATAGATCAATACAAAAGTTAATTCTAATTGTGAAGAGGAAAAAAAATCCATGGTTTTTCCATGGAAAGTATTTTTATTTTGTTTTTATGTAGTCCCCTGAATCAATACTTTGTAAAGGCACTTCAATGTCTCTTCCATCTTTGCACATATAATATATGCCCCCAATTCTCCTATAAATAACTTTAGATTAGTCACACACTGAATAAACAACTTTCCTGAAAATTAATTTTCAAGCCTTGCCACAGATCCTCAGTTGAATGTAGGTCTGGGCTTTGGCTGGACAATTACAACAAAGAATGTGTCTTGATCTAAACCAGACATGCCCAAAGTCTGTCCTCGAGGGCCACTGTCCTACACGATTTAGAGGTTACCCTGATTCATCACATTTAATTGCAGTTCAGAAAAAGCCTGTTAATCAGCTATCATGTTAAATTAGCTGTACTGAAGCATAGAAACCTTTAAAACCTGCATGGCAGCTGCCCTTAACGAAACAGACTAAACCATTTTATTTATTTTCCTGCTGCCCTTTTAAATGAGACACACCCCAGTCTTAAGTCTTCACCAGTCTCCAAAGGGTTGTTTCCTAGAATTTTCTTGTGCTTATACTGTAGCGCTAAACTTCAATAGACTCACTTCCTGTTTTTGCATAAAGTTTTAGTATAGTTTAGTATAGTATTAAGCCATCATCATACTTAACAGCACTGATGATGAATTCAGGGTGATGTCCAGCTCTAGTTATCAATAAAAGGAAATCAGTGAGCACAACTCCCCAAAAAGCAGGTTGAAATAGATCATTGTGAAGTTCTTGACTACCAGCACTCTGAGGTCCTTTGCAAATTTAAAATGGGCAAGAACCCAGCTGAAGAGCTGAAAATGGCTATGTGCCATCATGAGCTCCTCACAGAACCAAGACAGACAATGTGTCTCGTCCATATAAATATATGAACCCGGGAGTGCCGGTTATCCAGCCGATTATTTTCCATATGATTGCTTTGTCAGTAAATGTGGAAAACAATACTTCTAATGCCTTTCCTTCAAAAATGTTTTTCTTTCATGTCAGTGGGGGACTCCCATTGGCACAGCCTGAGAGCTCACTGTAACAAGGACAAACTTTCAGAAGAATGACTTAGAACAGGATAAAATACTTCGTTTCTAACAAGTACCAAATAACAATATTGTTCATAAATCAATTTGTATTTGGATACATTTTGTTTATGGGCAGGCAGTGAAGTCAAGCACAGGTCCCGGTGAGAATCTGAGGAACGCCCTGTGGCACACAGGAGACACCAGTGACCAGGTTAAACTCCTTTGGAAAGATCCTCGCAATGTTGGGTGGAAGGACAAGACTTCATACCGCTGGTTCCTTCAGCACCGCCCTGCTGATGGCTACATCAGGTACGGACTAGGATTATTTCAGCCTTTACAAAATAAGGAATCTAAATGCAGAGGTGTGAAATAATTAAGTAGAAATACTTTGTTACCTTACTTAAAAAGAAATTTAAACAACCTCATACCTGTAGTCCTTGCATTTTTTTGCAATTATCTCTGCTTTCTACTTCTTACATTTAAAAAATTGTTTTGTTACTTTGTTCATTTAAGCTAATTTCTGTTATGGCAGGTTGATATAAAAAAATAAAATAAAAAGAAAACATCAAAATAATTAATTTAGTCCAGACTTGTTGTTCGCCACATACCCAAATAAATAGTTTTTCAAAAATATGCAAAGTTAAATTTGACATTGCTGCCATTAGTTATAAAACTAAGAAAATTTAGTATAAGGAAGTTATCAGCCAGTTGTAGAACATTTTTCCTTTAATAGGGTAGTACACTAACCAGTATAAGGTTTAAAGTTTTGGTACTTAACATTTTTACTGCATTACTTTTACTTTTATACTTTAAGTAGTTTTAAAAATGGTACTTTAACAGTTTTATTTGTGTAAAAATCTTAAATTGAAAGTTCTAAAAAAAAGTGTTTTTAAACAGACCGATTTATACTTCTACTTTAGTAATAAACATTAATACTTTTGACACCTGTATCTAAATGTACATTGAGACAGACGAAGTAGTGCCTCATTGTAAATGTATCTGTGGGTTGGGAGAAGAAAAAGGCAAACTGAAGCTGCACTGCAAAGACAGGCAGGAAACCACAAAAACTGCTGACAAAAAAGAGCTGCTGCAGGGGTCCAAGCAGCCTGATCAAAGAAGGGCAAAACATTAGCATAAATCTCGAGTATTAAAAACAAGCCGAAAAAAAGACAGATTAATGAAAACTCAAAATAGAGCAGAGAAAAAAGGCAGGTAACAGAAAGTTAATTTAAAAGAAAAATAAAGGTGCAGCAAAAAATTAAGCAAAATAGGATAAAAAAAAGAAAATAATGAATAAAACTTTAAAGGCTCTGTAAACTATAAAAATTGTCAGCTCATCTAAATGCACACCTTTGAGGTATGGGTATACATTTGAGTATCTCACAGTACTCTCATCTATATACTCATTTTATCTGTGACCTTACTGCCATCTGCTGTCAATGCAGAGTTCGTTTCTTTGAGGGTTCTCAGATGGTGGCAGACACTGGGGTCATCATAGACGCCACGATGAGAGGAGGCCGACTGGGGGTCTTCTGCTTCTCCCAGGAGAACATCATCTGGGCCAACCTGCGTTATCGCTGCAACGGTGAGTAGAGGCTTTAAAACTATCTAAGGGACTCTAGGGTTTTTCTACAGAACATTGTCACCATCTATCTCTCGTTCGGCATATTCCTGCAAACTTTAAGGAGACATTTCACACATTTAATAACAACAAAAATAAAAAATATTCTTAGCTTTAGAAATTGAAGCTGAAAAGTAATAAATCAGTCACAAATCAGACTTAAACTGGAATCAACTGTTAAGCAAATTTAGTGGTTGGTATTATCCAGATAGCTGGGAATTTGGACTGATAACATTAGATTGAACTAAATTTACATGTTTACTTCACAAGGAAGATGTATTTCAGTAAGGTTGGAGCTAATGTTGTCCATCATAAATAGTGACAACTTGAGGAATTTTTTATAACCGAACTGACTTTGTGCTACGACTCCTTTCAGACACTCTTCCTGGGGACTTTGAAACCTACAGAGCGCAACAAGTGGAGCTGGTGGCCTGAGGTTGGAAAGCAAATCCTTTACAACCAAGAAGGGAGGAAGAAGAAACATCAATAATAAACCAATCCAGACATGACCATCTATGCAATCAGCAGATGCGTTTGGATTGTTGAATATGGAAAATATGTCTATTCTAAATGATGTTCCTGAAAACTTTTGTGAATAAATAAAAAACAATTTAACTAAATTAGAAATGTGAATGAAGTTTCTCCATCATAAAACAGAAATGTGCTATATATATATATATATATATATATATATATATATATATATATATATTAGAATGAAAAACTTAATTATAATTACTTCATTTCCATGATGTCACACACTTTATTTCTTTTATATGTTTTCTTTATTAAAAAAATTTATAAAAAAAGACAACAGACTGGTTTACTGCCTCACCCCTGCTCTGGCTTTTCCTTCTTTGGGCAGTAAATTTTGACAAAGTATGTTTACTATAAGAAAGAGCTTTACTAAGAGTAGTATACTGCAGGCTGATAGTAGTTTGAGCAAATAGAAAAAACCTATTGGCAGAGGAGATCCTAACAAATGTACATGAATTCCTGCCGTTTGGACCGAATTCAGATTTAACTACAAATAACTTAGTTAAAAATGATAAAGACAGTTAACCTTTGTTTCAGATTCAGTTCACATCAAATACATGTGAGCTGCAGGCACTGCACATTTGTATTTCCTCTGTTTCCTCAGAGCACAGCAGCTGGCCAGTGAGTGAGAAAAAAAAACTTTAAAGATGAAAAAAGTTTTTAACAAATCATTGCATGTAATGAAGAAAACCTGCCCTGCACCTGAATGAACAGATTGATGGATAGATAGAAGGGGAGGATTTTGGAAAACTGAACAAACTTTAGTAATGTTTTATTTATGATCTCTCTGGCATAAGTCACCTTTTTTATTATATTTGATAAATGAGAGGATCACCTGGTGTTTAATGTGCATTTCATGAAAACTTTTTTTCTACTGTTTTTTTTTTTTTTTTTAGATTTTTTTACTAACAAAACAACACAATCAACATACATATGTCATGTACAACATTTTTGATTCATACATTTAAAAAAACGTTACAGTGCATAACAGCATCAAGTAAAAAAAAAATGCAATGGGTTGCTCTCTGGATGCTTGTGCAACAGGAAACAGTGGAAACATGTCTTTTATAGTATTTGACAGTGGCTGTATGTGCATGACAAGATGATCACAGCATGCACAGAAAAACATGCAGCCCCAGTGGTTTCAGTTTTGGGTTTTAGCAGCAGCATGCAGCCCTTTAAGGTGAAGTAAAACAGGTAAACTGACATTTATCAAGAAATATCTAAACTAACAACTGTCTCTATTTTTTATTTTTATTTTTTTTTCCATTTGGGTGCAAAAAGGTTCATAGAGGTGAATTAGCATTTCTTCAGATCAAGCTAATAGCATGATGTAACAAAAAGGCTTTTTTTTGCCTCAGTAAATTCATTGTGCACAGAAAAGACGGTCAGGTAATATCACAATAAGGAATGATGACTGAGGTGCATACCGAAGGTGATACATGTTATTACAGGGAGAATAGAGTGTGGTAGTGTTATACATTAAAGCTTGATATTCATAAGGTCATGGAAAATGGGATAAGATATGGGGAAAACAGTCTATCTGTAACCCAAATGAAGGTGGTGCCATCCTCTCCTCACATGATCCAGACAGGAAGGAGTCCCATTTAAACAAAGATCCAGCATCTGATGTCTCCACATGCACTGTGGCTCAATATCACACAGCCTTCGCTACCAACCTGCAGGTGATGCCACAGTGGATAAAAGCTTCAATTCACAAACAACTGGTGAATCAACTTCAAATGGGAAATCTAAGCAAATATGCTTCTTTGTTTCTCTCAGGAAAACATCAGGGAGTTACGTTTAAGTCCCACAGTGGGCTTCAGGGAGACGTTGCTCGATGGTTTCATCTACAGTGAACACAGTCACTTCCGGCCTGCTGGGGCTCAGGCAGCTGGTGTGGTTTAGTGATACGTAGCTCTCAGCCAGCTCACTCATCTCATGCGTGTTACTAGTGACGCAGCTGATTTCTGTCTTGTTGCGGTTTGCAGGTCGACGAGGGTCAAACACCCAATCTGAAGAAAGACAAAAAGTTGAAGTAAAATTTGATGCATCAGAATCATCAGGAAAGGATCTAACATTTGAAAGCAAACCCCAGAAACACCAGTCTGAAGGCTCTTAAAACCATTTAATTTAAGGTCATTCAAGGATCTGCAGACACTTCAGTTCAAAGATTTTATTCTAAATTCTCTTTGATGCCAACAATGTAGTATTTCACAAATTTGCAGAAACATTGAGCTAAATTTTAGCATTAAAAAACAGGGCAAAAATAATCAGGTGAACTTTTAAGAGATGCAAACAGTAATGCAAAGAACCCTGTTCAATATAAAGTTTTTTGTCGGTTCAGCTTCTCTGTTTCCATTAGAGGCAAAGCAGCATAAAATTGTTTTTGCAACAGCCTCTGCCTCCCTGTATCCCCTTTATGTGTGATGGAGGCTTTTTGAATGGAGATGCATCAATCACTGTTCTGTCAGACGAGAGGCTAAGATTAACACTGACAGTTGTGAGGGTGAAGAAAAGGCAGGAATGGGGGTTCCTCTGACCCAGAGAGATCCCGCTCAAATGGTGCATTAGACAATCTGATCACGTGTTTGAAAAACTGAAGTGACTAAGCATGTTTTTTTATTAAAGTTCAGGTCTGGATCTGTGTGATTGATGATGTACCAGTATCCGACTGATGTTAAACAGGTCTTTCCTGGCAGCAGGTGATTTTATCGCCAGTAAAAGTTAATGTTGCAAATGAAACTAATTAGTCTTCATCCCATTCTACAGAGAACAGTGATTTCAAATATGAGTTTTAATGTAGATCTACTTGTAATAATACATACCTCTTAAATCAAGTGTTGAGATAAGAAACTATGATTCGTTAATGTTCAAAATGACAAAAAATGTTTTAAATCAGGTTGGGTCTGGATCCAGACCCACCTGTTATCCCTATTTGATCCATCCAGCTGAATGAAACAGGTTCTTCTTTGCTCTTAAAGGTATAGTGGAGGATGTACTTTTTCCGGGTGGATCATTAAAATAAGTGGTCCTCCCAATTGCCAATCATTCTGATAATGTGTTTATGTAAGGGCGTCCTACGTGCTCATCCCTCAGTAGCTATAATTTTCTGCACATGCAGACTTTCAGGCATATATGTGTGGTGAGCAACTTTTAAACAGAACGTGCACAAAGAGAAATGGGCTTGTGCATGCTCTCACACAGGTTTAATAGGCATTCCCTTTTTGGAGCGGGTACAGGGTTGTGCTTGTGCTTTTTTTAAACCGGAGAGGGTGGATTTTTTCTTCAAAAATTAGGGTGAATCTCCCCTTCACTCTGGAACAGAAGGTCTTTACCTGTCTTTCTCTTTGAGAAATCCCTGTTGAGGTTTGAGCCTCTTTCTAGTGAGGTAACAAGTGAGAAATTAGATCCCTGATTGGATAACATGTCAAAATCACAAAATTACTTACATCACTTCCAGTGAGGCTAAACCTCTTAGGGGGTCTATGGAGGAGGGGCGGGTCATGAAGCTGACTGCTCGATGCTGATTGGCAAACATACTTAACGCAGCAGCCGCCACTGAGTCAGTGAAACTCAGTGGACATACTATTCCTCTGGGTTACATTTCATTACTCAGAATTTACGAGCAGCAGACAAAGTCTGGGTGATCTTGGTTTATTTGAAGGGGCAAATTCTCAGAAGAGTCAAAAAAGGAGGGGATTTACCATCAATACTGGGCAGTTGCCTAGGGCCCCAAGGTCCTGGGGGCCCCTTAAAACTCTGTTTACATTAGGGCTGGGTAAAAAAAAATCAATGTCTAGGAAATTAGATCAATTAGTTTTATAGTGACGGACGCTCATGATGTTCACATTCAAATGACCAGGAAAGATGCACTCAAGATTACTTTAAGCCAGACAGCTGCAAATATAGCCAATAGGTTGACTGAATACATTAACAATACAGTAGGGGCTGAGCAGCAAACACCCTTTAGTTGTTGTTACACACAATGCTGCAAATATGGTTTGTGCAGGGAAGATAATGCAGCTCATGCATGTCTGCTGTCTCCCCGCTGTGTCACGTATGCTCGCACGAGTGAGGCTTCACTTTTTCACTTTTCACAAACAAGTTTGCACTTATGAGACAGTTTTGTTCACATCTCAAGTTTAAACTGTCTGATTTACAAGTTTGCACTTTGTGTTTAATATGACAGGAAAAAATAAAATAATAAAAAGTATTTTAAAACACAGTTGAACCACTTTCATTATTGTAAAAACCGATTGAATGGAAATTATTCAATTTAGAACTGTATTAATCAAAATCAAATCAATTCAGGACTTGGGCGAAAATACCCAACCCTAGTTTACATGTATAGTTAATACAACTATTCCTTATTTGTGCACATTAATTATATTTTTTATTAAAATCCTTTTGCCAAAAAGTCATCAGAACGCTTATAATATTAAGTATAATGTTTTCATTCCCTTTGGGAAAGCATGAAAAGTCAGCTGAGTACAAATCATATAGAGTAAAAAAAACAAGAGGAGGGACAAGAAGAGAGGGACAAAACGAAGAACAAATAATGTATGTCTATTCTATTAGAATTTCTGTATCTGTATAATGGGTCTGTTTTATGTGTTGTCTTCTCGATGTAGAGGGCCCCATGCCTGTTTTTGCCTAGGGCCAAAATTTCCTAAATCCGCCCCTGAGTCCAACTTAAAGCTACACCAAGAGATTGTGACAATTTTATAGATCCAACAAAACCAAAATCAATAGATGGTAAATAATGAATTAAGAGTTATGAAAGCAAAGCTAGAAGGCATTTTCACTTAACACTGAGTAGTATGTGGACAGATCATTTGTGCATCATCTGTGTGTTTTCTGTCGATGTTTCTTCTTCTCAGAATCTATCTAGACAGGATAGCAGTCCACACTGAGCCAGGCTCTACTGAGGGTTCTGTCTTTTAAATGCAATTGTTCCTCTCCTCTGTTGCCAGGCGTGCTCTCAGGAGGAGGTATTACTGTGAAGTGATAACTTTTATTATCAATGGACTTTGATTGTACTGTAGTGTGATTGTGATCCATTGCACTGTACTGATTTGAATCCTGAGAAATTGAATTGATCTGTAAAAATTAGCTAGTCTGGACTCTAAATAGAAAGAAATAGACATATGGGTAAAGTGCCTTGGCATGACATTGGTTGTAAACTGGATGCATATGACTGTATTGTTATTCATCAAATTAGAACCACAGGTACAAGAAATCAGGCTGCCCCCATCTGAGCTGACCTCAGACTCTAAAAATATTTTAATTCATTAAATCTTAACTTGATTTCTAAAAACAAATATTTCAACATTTCAGCAAAAATGAAATGAGATCGCCTCACTTCCCCAGAAACATACTGTCGATAATCTGCAGGTTTAATTGTTCTTTTGATTTAGTTCTTCACTTCTTGCTTTATTCTATCATTTCTTGTTGTCTTATTATTTCTAGTAGTAGATTTTGTATTTAATTCTTTAATTTAAATGGCAGATTCCATTTACCTGTGTTAGCTGTACAACTCCTGGTGAGCAGCCCCCTTCTTGGACATACTATGCAAAACATTACTCATTGTCACTCATGTGCAATATTCTTTTTTCTGACTATAAAATAACACATGCCAACTACTGTGTAGCCTGCATAATTTTTTTATGCATTTATATGGTCAGTACATTTCTGCAGTGCAAGTGCAATAACCCAAATCAACTACTATGTAGTCTTCCCTTAGCTCTCTATTGCGCAGATATTTTTATTTCTAAAGGAAACATATTCTAGGACATTACAACTTTTTTTATGCTTATTTCATGGTATATACACACTTTTTTTAATTGTCTGTCGTATTTTTATCTGTAATGGCATTTTACTTTAACTTTGTACTCCATATAAGCCACAGGAACCAGAATTTCCCTGTAGGAGTAAACCCAAGGGATAAATAAAGTTGAGTCTAAGCCTCAGTTTTTTAACTGTGTATTACTGTGTATTGTATTTTTCCTTTTCCATGCCAAGTTTTATTAAATTTGCACCTCTCATCAAATAACACCAATATCATCACTATGTGGCTTCCTAGCATCTGTTTGCATTTTGATCCTGAACAGCAATATTCTTATTACATCTACCTAAACCCACAAAAATACTTTTTGCAGTAAATCTTTGAAAAGTAAATATAAATCCACCAATTCTTGTACTGACAGTAATAACTGTTATAATAGATGAGAAATTCCTTCTTGTTCAATCCTGCAACCTGAATACTGTAAAGATTGGTTTTAAAATGTTTTAACCAGAGCAAAATAACAGCAGCTGACATCCAAATAAATGCAATATTTTATAGATAATTGTAAATATTCCTTCTGTTTTTGTTCCTGTTATAACAGCTACATGGTAGAAAACAACTTCTCTGCTTTTGATGAGGCAGATCTGAAGGGTGAAGCATCTTGCTTTGCTTTTGCTGTCTTTTTTTCAGCTTTTCTCTAGTGTGAAGAAAAACAGCAGCAGAACACCCCCCTTCCACATTTACACCTTTACAATATGCCCAGAGGCCCAACAGCATCTCCTCAGAGTGTTTGTGTAAATGTATGTGAGCAAGGCAGCAGGACAAGCTCTTAAAGCTGAGCCAGGGACAGCATAGCTGAGTCTCTGTGGCAAAGCTAAGTGCTGCAGACTGTGACCCACGTCAGCTCGGTTTTTTACCTGGATCAGTGGTTTCACCACCATCACCTTCAGCAACAATTGACCGGCCTCCACCTGCGGGCAGAAAACAAGAGAAATGGCACATTGGAGTCTGAGTCGGATGAGCTGCTGGTAAAAACACATCATCTGAACACAAGTGAACAAGTTTGGCCATGTGACACAGACACAATCAGTCAAGTTCCTGTACAACATCAATGTAAACCAAAAGTGTTGATTTTATACTCTACGATAGGAAGTTTTTTTCAAAGTAGAAATCATCAACAAAAAAACTAAAACAGTTTTAGATGAAAATTGGTATTGTTTTTTTAATATTTTAAATCTTTGTGCAGCAACATCAATTCGTGATTTTAAGCAAAAAGGTGTTCCTTAAGTAACTCTAAAAAAAATTATTGACAAGTTTCAAAGTAATAAGAGACTATGGGTGGGAGCTGGGTGGGGGTTTGGAAGGGTTCTTTGACATGCTCTCAAAATTGACAGTATCTCACTGAAAGTACTCCTTAAATGTTTTCACGTGTTGTCAAACTACATTCTCAAATAAAAAAATAAAATAAAAAGAAAAGTGTGCCATGCTTCGCAGAGGAAGTCTCTGTTGCCCACCTTTGAGCTACGGTCCAGATGTCCAGAACATCAACAGTTGCTCTGGACTTTCACTAGGCCATGTTAACACATGACCATCTATAATCTAAACTATTCAACTGTAGCCCTGGCTGTATGTTTAGGGTCATCCTCCTGCTAAAAAGTAGGAATATACTGATATGATAATATAAAATATTATCATATCAGTTTTTTTTTCCAGAAGTTCAATGGATTTAGCTTAATCTTCCCATCAGTTGTGGCCAGATTGAGACATTATTTATCCTTTGAGCTGCTCTACTGTTTTCTCCCTGTCTAGTCTGCTGTGTTCCTTAGTTTTAATGATGCCATCTGTTCTGAGTGTTCTTTAGAAACCCCTGAGGCCTGAAGAGAATAGCTGGATTTATACTGAGATTAAATTACACTCAGATTAACTATTTTACTAATAAGATTCATTTTGAAGCCAGTATAATGCACTGGATGTTATTTAGGAATATTAGATTAAGTAAGAACATTTGCAAAACCATATACATTGTTTTCCTTCAACATTATAGGTATGTGCCATATTGTGTTAGATATAATAGTAAAAAAGGGGATCGAGTTCAAGCAATGTGATTACCAGGCAGAATCCCAAAGAAGGTTTTTTCTTCTTTATTCTGTTCTTATAACATGATAAATGAATTTAAAACCTGAGAAAATAAATGGTTTCCACAGTAGAATTTATCAGGGGATAATTCTGAACCTTTTTGGCATAAGAGCCTTTGTTTGCTCAGTGTGATTTTGGATTTATGTTATATGTTTGTAGCTATTTTTTTGTGTTTGTTCACATTTCCCTCCCCTGGTTGCTGCACATTGTTGGGAATTTCCGGCATAAACAGGGGCCAGCATTGGCACCATGAGTGCTCTGTACTGTTAAATGTGATAACTTTCTATCACAATCAGCATTACTGTCTTGAACAAAATAGCTGCATTAGCGGCTCTGCTGGACTGGATCACATGGTCCAGCCTTTACTCCCTAAAGCATTGTTGTTTACTGTGATTCGCTAGTTCAATTTGAAAAACTCACATGAAAAGAAAAAGAGAATTAGACGAGTTTTATTGCTACAATTACTTTAGTCTTTGGCGCTCAGACCTCGGCAGGACACATTAGCGCTGAATTTTGCTTTGATATGGATAAGCAGGAGATCTAGTGGACTGTGTGAGCTGATACTAGTGCTTTCCTCAGGGACCTGGGAAGATGGAAGTCCAGCTTGGATAAACACAGGTTGCATGAACCTGTCCATGATGAGCAAGCATGAAGTGACAGTGGAGTGGAATAACTCCCCTATGGGAAGAAACCTCTGGCAGAACCAGGCTCAACATGGCTGTCTTCTGCCAAACCAGTTGAGATGTGACGGGGAATGCAGTAAAAGTCTGGGAGGAATTAACTCTGATAAGGAAGAAGTAGAAGAAGCACCATGGAAAAGTCAGTTGAAGCTTTATCTACGATGGCGGTGAAGGGGATAAAGGTGGGTTGAATCTGGTTCATCTGAATCAAGTCAGGCATAGCACAACCACTGCCTGTGCTTTGGCTGGGTAGCAGACTGAGTTGTGGATTTTAAGATGAAATCTGGATGCTGATTGGGCTTCATGGAGGTGTGGTTCAAAGCTGATTGGCTTGTTGGAGGGTAAGTAATTCAGTATTCATTTGAACATCCGGCAGGCGTCATTAAGTGTCTCTGACCACTTTTGACTCATACGGAACACAGCATTCTAGGAGTGCCTAAGCAAGCTGGAATATTACACTTTTTTCATGTTTAACATCAACTTAATCATCAACTGTACATCAACTTAAGAACTAAATGTTAATCACAGCAGCCTAGAATCTACCTTCCCTAGAAAGTGCCCTGCTGAAAGATTATCAGTGTCATTCACTTCACCTATTAGCAGTCGTTATACTCTCCCTGATCAATGTACATATTCTTTCTGAACATTCAGTACTAACCTGTTCCTGTCTGTCATGACCTGCTGACAAATGAAACACCACTGAGTCAAATATTCAACAACAATTTAATCGTCTTGGCATCCAGTCAAGTCTTCCCTTTAAAACAGTGTGCAGGGACTAAAAATAGACTATATGTTTCATTCTCTCATTCATTATGTAGTTCTCACAGGAAGTTCTTCTACAATCCAATCTGACTTTAACACTTGCTGCTGATTTTATACTTTGACAGGATGGGGGTCACTCACAAGGTCACCAGCTGTTAGTCTGCATCAGAATCACTTAGATTACACAGAGAGAGGAAAGCTTACGATAATAATGAGTCACCTGCATATTTAATAAAAACATCCTCCATTAGGCTGCCAGGGAGTCACCAAACAGCTCTACTCATTAAAAGAGGATTAAAAGTGTTAACAGGAGCTTTTTCTTCTTCTGACTCTGGAGAAGAAAAAAAAAGATGTTCTCTGAAAGGCTTTAGTGCAGACAGCTAAGCATATCTATTAATTAGAAGATCATTGAAAATGTTCATTTATTTCAGTGGCTCTGTTTAAACACTGAAAGTCACATATTGATTTATTTGAAGGGACTGCTATTTCAGGTAAAGTTGATGATGAGGAGGCTTAAAACAAAAAACAAAAATGCAGATGTGCTATTAAAGTTACTGGCTAATTTCCTAAATGCAACTGACATAAGTACTAATTCTTGCATAATTAGTGGGTACCTGTAGTACATTGTCATATTATTACTTTTAAGTAGGACCCTACAGTACTTTTTACAAGTATTTATGTGATATTCAAGTTTTGGCCTAACAATAAAAGGATCCCCTGTAATGAATTGATATCAGCTTCCATTTTTACAATAGATTACAGAGATGTGTCAGTACTTTAAAACACTTGAGATCTTTTAAATTTATATGGGATTGATAAGTTAATATATTTGAAGGATTTAAGTTTACTTAGTTATTCCAAGCTTCTGAGGGACTGCATGTACTCAACACAGACGCACAGTGGGTGTGTCAGAGGTCACCTACCAACAAAGTCATTCACAACATCCTTTACCAGGTGTCCCACTATGGCATACGCCACTGCCACCACCACCAGCGCGGAAATGACCAGGTACAGGACCGCTTTGGGCAACTGAGTGGAGTCCCTGGCAGGCGTCCTGTAGTCCGTGAACAGCAGGTCGTTCTCTGAGTAAGAATACTGAAAGATATGCTCCATACCGGAGGTTTGGTTGGAGTCTGGAGGCGGGTTACTCGCGCTCATTGCTCCGTCCGGTTGCAGAGATGTCACCACCGTTGTAGTCGCTGTCTCCGATTTATCCAAGCTGACCAAGCCTGTGGTTTTATTCATCAGAGGTAATATCTTAGACAGAAAATAGCTCCAGTCCTTTATGGCACTCGTGTTGCATAAAAACATACTTTCTTCCATGGGATCGCTGAGAGAAGAGCTGACTTTACGGAGGGGAAAATCCACAGAGCAGGACTCCAACACTCACACAGATGAACCTTGGAAGGAGGGTTTTTATGTGCTTGTCTACTAATCCAACAGGTCTCTTCTGAAGGCGGACACAGAGTCATGAGTGCTCCTGCAAACAGATCATACTTCCACCGACAGTGCGTCATGCAACGACAGGCGCGCCAGCTTTTACGCACAGACACTCAAAAACAAATACCGCTCCAAGAAAAACAATAACAAATGTATCCTGAAAAAGCGAGGCTCCCCACAAAAATAAAGCAAACATAATTTATTAGAAACCCCGAAAAGCATGATATCAAGAGAAACATGAGAGGAATCCCTGTGGAGCGGAGCGCGTTTCCACTGCTCATTGCACGCTGACGCAGAGACACTGACAGCTGAAATAAAAAGCGTGCTTTTGCAGAAAACACGGTGACGAGTCTGTAAGAGTCACGACTCTTTCTCTTCTGTTCTAAGAAATGAAAGCTTTACCGTGTGGTGAGAGCAGAAGCTCCAGCTGTGGTTCGAGGTGAGTTTATAAAACTCTCTGTCCCTTTTATTTAGAAGCAGATCCATTGAGATAAATGGACATGCATGATGCTTTGTGGCCTGTGGTTCAGCTTCAACAAAGTTGAAAGTATGAAAAGAAGGAGATTATTTTTGTTTATTCTATTCGGGAAAAGATGCAAAAAATACAGACAAAATCGACTCATAATTAGTTTGTTCTCTGCTTTTTGGACCCATGAACTGGTTTCTTTGTATTTACCTGGAAAGTCAAAGGCTGAAGTTTATTGCAGTTAAAACTTAGGGTGCAACAGCTTTTAAACTAGAAGGCTAAAGCTGCCCAGTAGTCTTTTGGGAAGGCACTACATTTAGGAGAAAAGAAAAAAGAGCACAATGATACATTTTTATTTCTTAATGTGAAAAAAAAAAATGGAAATCAAAAAGACACTTTCTAGCTGAAGTCTGGTATGGTCAGTCAAAGCAATGTTTATGTTTGTACTCTATAACAGACCAGTTTCAGACTTGGTGGTGTTGGCATTATGCTGTGGTACTGTTTAAAAATCTATTAGTAGCACATGACACACCTTAGATGGATTAAAGAAGAAACTTTTCAAGTTCCATGTTTGAGACTTGGACACATAAAAGTGATCCAAAGGGGAATGATCCCAAATTCACCTTAAGACTTTTTTTTATACGGATAAAACAGACAGGCATTGAGCTTTTGAAATATCGCTAACTTCATCCCTACTTGAAGCCTGTACAACCAATTATTAACCCACTGCATTTTTTATTTTATTTTTTCTGATAGGGCAGATAGGGTTGAGAAACAAAAATGGTTCAAAACGCTTCTTACCTTTCAATTTTCCTGCAATTGTTATATATTTTTATTCTTAGTTTCAATTCCCAGGCTACAGACTGGAAGTAGCAGCTGTCTAGTGTAAATAAAGGGGAATCCACAGGGGGTATGCACAACCATCTGTTTGTGCTGTGGCATTCCTAAGTGTTGCTTAGAGTTAAAGATATTACCTGCGACAATGGCTATGATATTGTTATTCATGCAAAATACAGCGCATGTCCGACATAATTAAATACCATCTTGTCTTTGATGTGCTGCTCCTAAGGGAATTTGTTCCTCCTCTTAATTAATAGTGCACTTTCTGCAGGGAGAGCAGATTTTTCTTTTCTTTTCTTTACATCTTAACAGTTATCGGTCTTGTTTCCTATGTGTTCTGGATAGAAGGGAAGCTGCTTTAATCTCCATCTGATAGACTTACAAATAATTTTAACCCTAGCATTCACACAAGGTTAGAAATTCAAGGACTTCTAAGTAGCACCAATTCACAATACATCTCAAGGCACTTTACAGAGAGGGAATTGAATCCCGATAATACAGACAGATTGGAGATAGGAAGGGGAATCGAAACATTTTAATCGTTCAGTTTCAAATGATTCCGAAACCTAAGACAAGAGCTCAAATATCCAGCCAAAGTTATCCGATGGTCCTTGCTACAAAAAGGATGTGGCTCTGGTGAAGAAGTCAGTGAAATTATATTTTTGCTGGAGTATTTATATATTTGAACCTGTGTGTATCATTTTGACTGAACATAAACTAGTGAAAATCTACAACAAATTCAAAATGGCAAATCTGGTTTGGTTGGTAAAATCTCCAAGGTTGTTTATTGTGTAATTATTTTAACTTCAAAGAGAATACCCCAAATATATACCCTAAATATATAACATAACTAAATGAAATGGGATCCCCTAACTTCCCCAGACCCCTACTGTGATGATCTGCAGGTTTAATTATTGTTTTGATAAAGTTCTTCCGTTCTTGCTGTTGTTTTTTTTTTTTTGTTGCCTTATTGGTTCTCTTTACTTACTTCTCCCAGATGTTTTCTAGTTTTTAATTTTTATTTTAATTCATTTGTGCATTTAAATTGTAGATTCAATTTACCTGTGCTTTCCTCTTTACCTGCACATGTGTTCTGCTCCATTTAGGTTTTCAGTCCCCTGTTTGTCTTCACTGGATCCTCCATTGTATTTTCCAATTTCCATGCCAAGTTCTGTTTAATTTGCACCTCTCATCAAATAACACCAATATCATCACTGTGTGGCTTCCTAGCATCTGTTTGCATTTTTATCCTGAACAGCAACATTCTTATCACATCTACCTAAACCAACAAAAAATATCTTTTGCAGTAAATCTTTGAAAAGTAAATATAAATCCACCCATTCTTGTACTGACAATAATAACTGTTATAATAGATGAGAAGATCCTTTTTTATTCAAACCTGCAACCGGGATACTACAAATATTTGTTTTAAAATGTTTTAACCAGAGCAAAATAACAAAAGCTGAGACCCAAACAAATATAATCATTTTTAGATAATTGTGAATATCCCTATGTTCATTCGGTGGCATATTCTGTTTTTGTTTCTGTTATAACAGGTACATATTAGAAAACCATTTCTTGGCTTTTGATGAGGCAGATCTGAAGGGTTTTGCTGTGTCTTTTTTTCAACTTTGCTCTTGTGATAAGAAAAATTGCAGCAGAACATGCCCCTCCACACTTAGACATTTACAAAGTAAAGATTACCTAAATCTCCAGGAGAATCTATGGGTATTAGGGTATTTTCTTTTCAAAAAAGAAAAGAGAATACCCTAAATATATAATTATGAGTTCAAAATTAACATGACATTAATGCTCCCAATGGTTAGAAAAGTGATGCTACCCACATGAAAAAAATCGGTTCAAAATGAATGATCAGGAGATTAGTTAATAAGTATGAGGTAACAAGTCTCCTAACAGACCTTCTTAAACTGACCTCAGTGCTTTTTCCTGCTCTGTTCCTTGTTCATGTAAGTATAATTAAACCCCTTGTAAAAGTGTTAGCATTCCCCCTGCCACTCCAACCCCCAGACATATTTTTGTATTGCTCCCAAAGAGGGTAGTGCCCCTTGGCTGACAATTGTACTACTTGTAACTAATTAAAACTGAAATGCAGCAGCCTTCTTTCAACCCAAAGATGGCAGTATTCAGGTGCTTTTAAGAAAAAAAATTGCAGAATTAAAAACATTTACACAAAAAATGTAAACATCCATATATTAAGATAAAATTTGCATCCTGAAGGATCAATTTATAGTTTATCTTGAAAATAAATGTTGATTTGGGGTTTTGTAATTTTTTTAAATATACAGTACACACACATTTAATAAAACGTAACTCCTAACATAAATAAATAGGGATTTGTGCAGGCATATAGAACTATTTAATAACTGCTGTCAGTTATCTTGTCGTTCATTCCTAGCACCTTGATAGATCTATGAATCCCCTTGCGTTTTCCTGGAAAACACTTACCAAACTCAATTAAGATCACATCGGTGGTCCAAAGAGCGGCTCAAAGGAAATGTACTGGACTCACTGACCCTTAAATCAATCAGGCTCTCCACTGAGTCACTGCAGACACTATTGTGGCTCTGACAGAACCATCTGTCACAGCTACTTTAAATAGAAACATTTGCAGAAATGTTGCTGTTAATACTTTTTTTAATACTTTTTTTGTGTTAGACCAATTTAGTCTTGATTACTGTAGGTTAAGTAAAATGATTCTTTTTGGGTGTAAGTCTTGTCCTCTGTTTACTTGAAGCTTGTTTACTTGAGCTCGTTGAAGCCATATCCTGTTTATGATTTGAGTTCTTCAACCATTTAGACCATATATATATATATATATATATATATATATATATATATAGATGGAGCTTGGCCATTTAAGGCTTTATATGTGGGAAGTAGATATGATCTCTCTATTTAATTTTCATCAGAACTCTGGCCGCAGCATTTTGGATCAGCTGAAGGCTTTTAACTACAGTTTGTGGACTTTCTGATATTAAAGAATTACAGTAGTCCAGCCTTGCAGTAGAAAATGCATGGACTATTTTACTTGGCATCACCCCTACACAAGATATTTCTAATTTTTGCAATATTCTGCATTCGGGAGCAGAAAGTTACGAGTCATCTAGGTTTTTAAGTCTTCAAAACTGGTAGGTTATGTAACGGTTAGTTTCTTCAGGATTGATGGACAAATATAGCTCAGTATCATCACAATAACAGTGGAAATCAATCCCATACTGTCTAATATCTATCGATCCATTAATCGGGGTCGGGTCACAGGGGTAGCAGCTTCAGTAGGGAGTCCCAGACGTCCCTCTCACCAGCCACTTGGGTCAGCTATTCAAGGGGAATCCCAAGGTGTTCCCAGATCAGCTGAGAAAAATAGTCCCTCCAGCATGTCCTGGGTTTCCCTCTGGTTCTCCTCCCGATGGGACGTCCCCAGAACACCTCACCAGGGAGGCGTTCAGGAGGCATCCTAACCAGATGCCCAAGCCACCTCAACTGGCTCCTCTTGGTGTGGAGGAGTTGCAGCTCCTCACCCTATCTCTAAGGGAGAGCCCAAACACACTACGAAGAAAACTCATTTCGGCCGCTTTTATCCGGGATCTCATTGTTTCGGTCATGACCAAAGGCTTATGACCATAGATGAGGGTAGGACCGTAGATCAACCGGTAATTCAAGAGCTTTGCCTTTTGACTAAGCTCTCTATTTATCACAACGGAACGGTACAGTACACGCTTCACAGCAGACGGCGCAACAATCCGCCTGTCACTCTCCACTCAATATTTCCCTAATTCATGAACAAGACCCCAAGATACTTCTCCCTCTACCTTTTTCCG